TGAGCTAGACAAAATAATATAAAACATGAATGATCTGTTTAGCAGAGAATTAGCGTCCATGAAAATTTTCCAAATAGAAATCCAGGAGAGTAAATATTATATTGAAAGAATGGGTGGCGGTGCATCCCTGGAATCCCAGAACTTGGGAGGCTGAGGCAGGGGGATTGCTGTAAGTTCAAGGCCAGGCTGGGCTACATAGTAAGACCCTCTCTCAAAAAAATAAATAAATAAAAAATAAAAAGAATGGGCAGGAGAAGAGATCAGTGTGAAGATAAGAGGGTCAGAGTTACAAGATACAGATGCTTCCAAAGATCAATTTCTCAGAAATATCTTAAGAAGAGAGCATGAAACATGGAGTTCACAGTTGTGAGGTGACACAAAGAAGACTAAGACTGGTTGGAATAAGTGGAAAATGAGAGGACAGCACAAAGGGAATAAAAAATTGCTTACAGAAATAAGAGAACTTCCCAAATATTGGGGAAGATTTAAACATGCAGATAAAAGAGGAATATAGAACCCTAAAAAGGCACTACCAAAAGAGTTCATTGCTTGTGTCCTCCAGCTGAAATTCACCTTCTTCAGGGAGGGATTTGTATCTGTTCTGTGTCCTTGGCACCTGGCATACGGCCAGCACATGGTAGCTACTCAATAAATAGTCACTGAAAATCAGCATGCTTGACAAAGATTTGGATTTCCGAATTTCATTGATTTTCTTAAATATCTATCTGTCTGTCTGTTTGTTTATTTATTTATGGTTTCTGAGGTGGGGTCTTATGTACAGTTCAGGCTCACCTTGAACTCACTGTGTAGCCCTAGGCTGGTCTTGAACTTGCAGTGATCCTCCTGCTTCAGCCTCCCGAGTGCTGGGATTACAGCCATGCCAACCATGCCCATCTTGCCCCCTGCCATTTTTTTTTTTTTTTTTGAGTCAGGGTCTCACTATGCAGTTCAGGCAGGCCTTGATTTCACTTTGTAGCCCAGGCTGGTCTCGAACTCACAACAACCCTCCTGCCTCAGCCTCCCTACTGCTGGGATTACAGCCATGCCCACCATGCCCATCCTGCCCCCTGCCATTTTCTATTAGATTCTCAAAGGGGCCCATGACCCTTCAGGACTGCAATCTCTGTCCCCATCCCTATGAAGAAGGGGTGGGAGAAAATGACTACCACCATCTTGTGGGTGGGTAAACTGAAGCTCAGAGGAGGCAAAACTACACAGTGCTGATCTGGAGTTGTGTCTGGAGCCCCCTCCTGCTCCCCTGGTACCCGAGTGGGTGGTGAGAGGCCTCTAGGTCCTGCCCACCTGCCGCCAGTGCAGGCCCCACTCACCCAGAGGGTCGCCGTCCACCACGCTGTACTCCACCTGCCCACTGGGGCCTGAGTCCCGGTCATGGGCCAGGAAGGTCCACACTCTGGGCCCCGGCTGGCCCTCGGTGACATCAAAGGGTCCCTCGTAGTCCCGGGGGAAGGTGGGCACGTTGTCATTGATGTCATTCACGTTCACCAGCACCTGAGATGGCAGAGAGGCTCTGCTGGGGCCTCTCCCAGCCAGGGTGTGGTGGGCTCAGTGTGCACAGCCTCCGCTACTTCATCGGTGCCTTCACCTGCTAGTGTGGCCTTGTGTGGCCGATTTGTGGGGGGTCATAGATGTGGGGTAGGAGTCCCTTTTTTTGAGACAGGGTCTCACTATGTAGCCCAGGCTGGCCTCAAACTCACAGAAATTCTCCTGCCTCAGCCTCCCAAGTGCAAGGGTTACAGGTGTGTGCCACCACACCCAGGAATCCCTCTTTCACGGTTGAAGAAATCAAAGCTGAGAGAGGTTATATGACTTGGCCAGGTTCACACAGCTAGGAAGTAAAGGGCAGGGCTCTGAACCCAGGTTCATTTGATCAGAGTTTATGCTTTTCCCATGAAGGGGAGGAAGGCAGGTGTTTTGTTCTGATTAGATACAGCCTCACAGAGAGCTTCAGGACCTCTTCAAAGTCACACAGCAAATGTGGGGGAGCTGCTGGGCCAAGGACAGACCTCTTGGACAGGCATTTTCCTCTGAATGTGCTTCCCCTCTCTCCTGCCCCCCACGGAAGCTTCCTGGGTCCTGTCCCCCTGCCCAGCACCTTGGGGCTGTGCCCCGCCTACCCACCGTGGTGGTCGACGTGAGGCGGTGGGACAGGACGGGGCACTGGTCCGTGGCAGTGACTATCAGAGTGTAGCGGCCATGGCTGACCTCATAGTCCAGCTCCTTGACGGCACTGATGATGCCCTGGGGGACACAGAGCAGACCAGGGCAGAGCGCTGGGCGATGGGTGGTGGTCCTGGGGCGCCCTCTAACTGGCCCAGGAGGTAGAGGCCTGGACACCTTGGCACCACAGGGACCTGACACCCTTTAGATGTCCCCAGACTCCACCTGCATTCTGCATCCCACGATGCTGCCGAGCGGCTGCCAACCGTGGGGGCGGGTGTCTCGCCCTCCTCCCACACCCCACCGTCAGCTGCTCACTGTGCGTCTGCCAATCCGGAAGGTGTTGATGATGTTGCCTGCAACGATGGCGTAGACAACTGTGCCGTTGGGCCCCTCGTCTGGGTCCAGTGCCTGGATGGTGATGAGGCTCGCATTGACTGTGTCCGGGCCCTCGTCCAGTGACACTTCATAGTGAGGCTGCTGGAACTCAGGGGCATTGTCGTTCTCATCCACAATGGTCACATACACATGGGTGGTAGCCTGAGAACAGCAGGGTCGGGGTTAAGGAGGACGGAGGTAGATCAATATGGTGAGGGAGGGAAGTCACAGGCTGGTAATTGCTTAGGTCCCAGGTGGCACTCACACCACCACTGCTATGTCTACGCCTGTGGAAGACATCACTAATCAATCATGGCTCTACTGAGGTCAGATGCAGACTTGTGATCCTCATCAGCCAGAGGTGATTAAAACTGGCATATGGGATGAACACCAGATTCACCCCAACCCACAGCTTTGGGCTGCGTTTCCTGCACGGTGACAGTGCAGCTATGGGCATTGCTCACTGGTGGGGGGCCCAGCCTTGAGTCCCTGGGTCCTCTGCAAGAGCGCAAGAGCGCCATCTTCAGGCAGGAAGAGGCACCAACATTTCCTGCCATGTTAGAGTCGCCTCCCAGCTCATTGAAACTGGTCCGACCATCATGTAGATTGCTGGGGTTAAGAAAGGGATTCCCACAGAGCTGCCCCCGCAGGCCTCCCGCTCCAAGACCAGCGCGGGGTATGGTATGCTTCCCTCTGGCTTCTGGGTGAGGAGGAAGTCAGGCCTCGGAGGCCCTTTCTCTGAGTCATCCTGTCTTGCCCCAGGCTTTAGGGAAGGAGGGCTTGAGGCTGCTGAACCCGCCCCACACCTTGGGCAATGCATGTCTTACCTGATGCAACCCCAGGAGACTCAGGGCTGGGCAGTGTGCTGGGGCAGAAGTAGAAGAAATGGGGGAGTGCTCTTGGGAGGTGGCCTCTGTGTCAGGTCACCCTGCAGTGACCCTCACTTCACCTCTGCCAAGGGATAGCCAGGTGGAAAGAAGGCACAGTGCCCCCCTGATTTCAGGTGGCTTAGTCCCTTTCCTGGGTGGAAGAGAACACGAGGTCTGCCACCAGGAAGGGCACAGGGGTATCCTCAAGCATGGTCACAAGGCCCGAAGCACCTGGATTACGTCTTGGCAACCCTCAACCCTCGGGTCCCATCCCAGTGTCCTTTCTGGCTCCAGGGGGATTGGGCCTGCACAAGGCCACTGAGTAACAACATGACACCCCACACTTTTCCTCTGCTGTGGCCTTCTCTCCCCCTGAGCCAGGGCTAGGAGACCCCAGAGAGCTTGTGACATGGGTCAGACCACCCATAGACCACCCATAATTCTTGGCTCCGAGTCTGTCCCACCAGCTTGATTCCTGACACTGCTGGACTCTGCCTGGAGTCCCTTGGGAGCTCCAGATCCATAAGGGGCCAGCAAACCTGGGCTGGGGTACACTGGGCACAGCAGGGGTGCTCTCCCTCTCCTGTGACTCCTGGTGTTCTCTACAGCCACCTCCTCTACTCCGTCAGGGAGTCCCACATGCTCTTGCTCAATGGTTTGTCTCTCAGGTAAGACGGTAATGAACAGCCTCTCCATGCCTAGCTTGTGGTAGGACCTCAGAACCATGCGGGGAGGAGCCTGTGGTCCCCCAAAAGCTAGGAAGACAGGCGAGCCCAACCAAGAATAGGCTGGTTGGAGCCTCAGGCCAGTATGGTAGCCAAAAGGGGGTGTGGACAGAGAAGACTGGGGGCCTCAGAAGGACCAGGGATGCTGTGGAGGGAAGGACCTGAGCTGGGTCTGGAGCGCTGGCCATAGTTTGGGTAGGAGAGGACAGGTGCCTGAGTGATACCACAGGGCCAGACGGGGTGCAGCTGTCCAGGATGTGGGGGAGGGAGAGGAGCTGGGCCAGGAGCTGGTGAGAGCCGAGGGGCAGTGGGGCCTGGGGCTGGGGAGCTCAAGGGAACCCCGCGGGACACACTAGCAGATATTGCACACGTGTCCTGGGATAGGGACATGCCCAACCTGCATTCAACATGGGAGTTCTGTGTGTGTGGGTACGTGTGCGCAGACTCAAAGGGTCTCGGGCACTGGGTCCACAGTCAAGCCCACTCCAGCTTGCTTAGCTCATTACCAGTGTCAGATTTGACTGACTGACTGATTGACTGATTCACTCACTCCACAACCAAAGCTGAGCATGGCACTGGCAGGGGAATGCCGCGCACAGTCCCTGCCCCGGGTGGCTGAAGACAGACACAAACTATGATAATGATGCTATGTTAGACGTAGATCTGCTCCTTACTTTGTACAGCGGTAAGAAAACTCTAGAAAGCGCTGGGGAGGGCAGCAAGCGCTTGACACACTCTTTCCAAACTCACTGCCGATCTGTGGGTCCCAGCGCTCCCTCCTCTCCCGCGCCACCTCCGGCGCAGTGCCGCCCGCGGCCGCCCGGGGGCGCTGTGGGACCCCAGCCTCCGCCCCACCGCGCGCCGCGCGGGCTCCGCACTCTCTCGGGAGGCTGCCCCGGCCGGCCGCGTCCCGCCCGTCCCCTGCGACCCGCCCGTCCCCTGCGACCTGCCGCCCGCTCCGCCCGACGGCGACATGCGCGTCCCCGCGGTCCCGGAGGCCGGCGGCTGGTGCTTGGGGCCCCTGTTCCTCGCTCTCTTCCTGACCGACTCCCCAGGTAAGGTCCGCGGGCGCCGAGGCAGCGCGACGGAGAGGCGGCCAGTTGGGAGTCCCCGCCACCTGCTGGGGCCTCCGTCCACCGCACGCAGGCTTCGGGCCGCTGGGCAGCGTGCGCAAGTGTCCCCGCTGGGCACCGGGTACTCCGTAGCTCTGACAGCTGACCCGGCCACAGGCAAGGAGTCTTCTGAGGGCTGCCTGTCCTACCCTCCCTCGGCCAGACAGCCCAGGGCACAGGTAGCTCCTGCAAGGCAGGGGAGGGGTAGGGAGGGTGCAGCCTGTGCCAGTGTCTGTGCCCCGCTTTTGACAGCTGTGGCACTGCTCTGCCCCTCTAGCTTCAGGGCTCCAGTCTCAGAGGGTGCAGGGGGTGTGGTGCCCTTGGCCGGTGCCCTGCGCCCTGGTGACGCTCCTGGCTGAGCTCTGGTGGGTGCCGCTCAGGGTGGGCACTGGTGTACTCCCAGACGGGGCAGCGCTGCCCACAGCCAGATTAAGTGGTCAGCGGATTCCTGTTAAGGGGCTGCAGCTCAGACCAGTGTGGGGCTGCGGAGGAGGCAGTGCCCTCTTCCAGCCCAGCCTCACCCCTTCTGTCTTTGGATAACACGGCATCTCTGCAGCCTCAGTTTCCTCAGCTCAGACAGAACCTCCACATGGGGAAGTGCGAAAGCTCAAGTCCCGATGGCCATGGCCCCAGATGGCATCCCGGGCAGGACACAGGGGCTGGGTGGTGGTGGCGGTCCCTCTGGTTCTTGCCTGTCCAGAGCTTGAGAGCTGAATCTCCAGGGTAGCGGGTCTGGCAGGCAGCCTGGGATCCAAACTTACGGGGAAGGCCCAGGGAAAGCGTGAGTCACGCGGGGAGGCAGGATGGAGGTGGAGGGCTTGGCACAAGGACCCAATGGGCAGTCAGAGGATGAGAAGCAAGGGGAAGATGGGATCAGAGGGAGACACCCTAAAAATAAGCAGGATGTCTGAGGCAGCTTGATATCTCAGCACCAGGACTCTGGCCTGGGCTTCTCATAAGGAGGGACCCCACACCCAGCAGACAGAGCTGCCCAAGCCCTAACCTAGACGCTTCCCAAGATGACACCTAGGAGCTAGGGTGATAGCTCAGTGGCACAAGCACCTGCTTGGCAAGCTCAAGGTCCCGAGTTTGAGTCCCAGTATGTATATAAAAAAGATGATACCCAGCAGGAGGGAGAAAGTGGGGTGGGGGAGGAGAGTGGGGCGGCCTAGCCCTGAGGCTTCCAGAAGGAGCAGGGGTGGCTGCAGGCAGGAAGCTCCCACCCTGGAGGGCCACCTACCTGGCCCCCCACCCAAGTGACTGCACAAGGCCTTTCCTGTTTTCTTGCCCCTTCTCTGCCCATATGTAGCTGGGCTTCTGTCTGCTCAGCAGCCCCACTTTGGGAAACTGAGTCCTAGAGAAGCAGGGTGTAGGACGTGCTTGTAGAGCTTCCAGTTGCAGAGAGGCTGAGGGGAGCCCAGAAGCCCTGGCAGGTTTCACCTTCACAGCCAGGAGCCCTCCCTCTCAGGGGCCTTGGTGTCTGAACTATGCGGGTGTCAAAGGGCCACCTCCTGCCAGCCCAGCTCAGGCAGGCAGCTAGGGCTGCTCCAAGTTGCCCCCACCGAAAGGAGTCAGAGACTCCCCCTGGCCTGGGCACTAACTGTAACCTCGGCACACTGTGCCCTGGGCATGGTCACTCAAGTCAAAGCCTTTATGGCCGGAAGGTGAGTTAGAGTGGCCAGGGCAGGCCAGCACCGAGGCGATGGCAGTGGTGTTAGGTGCTCAGGAGCCCGGAGCCAGTGAAGACAACCCTTTCTGGGCCTGGTGCAGGACAGGATGGCTAGCGGGGCACCTTGGGGGACAGGACCCAGTGGTCCCCAAAGGAGCCACAGCCCCTTCTTCCCCAGGACCTGTCTACTCTCTTTACCCTGTCCTCAAAGCTGACTCAGGAGTCCCAAACTCAGGGTCCAGCATACTCGAGCCCCTGGGGGTACACGGTCGCTAGGGAGGGGTGATCCAGCTTCCCCTTCCTGCTGCGAGGCGTGGGCCTTGTTACATAACCCAGACCTGCAAGCCCCTGACACAACAGTGGTCAGCTCTTAGGCAATCCCTGGCCCACTCCTCACCAGGGATGGACAGAAGCAGAGAAGCAGCCTGGGGCCAGTCCATGGGCAAGAGGGGCATCTACCCACTGCCAGGGGACCCCCAGGGGCCAGAATACTGAGGAGCCCCTCAGTGAGCTGACCTGATTGCTTCTCTTAGCCCCAAGCTGCCCAGGGCCCTGCTGGGGCCTGACCTTCCTGTGACAGGGTGGCTGAGGCAGGGGTGCACTTCAGGGGAGCTGCAAGGGGTCATCCCCGCATATGCAGTGTGTGGGGTCTTAGCCATGGCAGGAGAAAGGAAAGGAGGGGTCTTCAGAGCCCATGGGCCCGTTGGCAGTGTCTGAGCCCTATCTACCAAGCTTGGAGCCCCATGTTCTAAGTTAGCTATTGTGTCAGGCCCAGCCTGGCCTCATCAGACAAGGGTGAGCCAGGGGTCAGTGCCGTGGATTCCAATGCAAAGGGTCCCCTGGCATGGCCGTGGCCTCCACATGGGACACTTGGGTGGGAACAGAGTAGAAAGGGGGCCTAGGCAGCATCCTGCATGCCAGGGCTTCTGTACAGCCCGTGTTTTGGGCTTTGGGAGTCAGTTGTATATGAGTTCAAATCCCAGACTGGCCATTCACTGCTCTGTGACCTTGGGCAAGTTCCTCAGCATCCCAGGCAAGTCCCCTGCTTCTGTAGCCCTCCCTTGGAGGCAGTGTGCTCAGCTGGGGAACCTGACCTGGTGAATGTGGAGTAACAGGTTATTTCTTGGCTTCTGGGGACCACATACCAGTGGCTTTCTGACTGAGCATCTCGCTGCCTACAGGGCCTGCGAGTGCCTGAGGCATGGGGAAGCCATGGGCACAGGTCGGGTCCTGTCCCCCACAGGCGCCTGGAGGCAGGGAGAGACTGAGGGTGCAGGGAGGTGCCTGCTGTTCCTCCTCTCAAAGAGACAGAGACGTTGCGAGTTCAAGGCCAGCCTGGCTCAGGGTTTCTGCATCTCCATGGGGTCTTTCTTGCCTCTGATGTCCACAGTCTACCTGCGGCTGGGCATCCCGCAAGAGCAAGGCAGTGACCACCTTCCTGGCCACCAGTGATTCCAAAATGAAGTTGTTCTTCTGCAGACTGTGCAGGCCCAGCTCCTTTCGCCCGTCTCAGAATCCTGTCTCCCAGGAGAACAGGGGTCAAGTCTCAGCTCTGCTGCTCCTCCCCAGGGGACCCTAAACACACACTTCCTCTCGGTCTTGCAGCAGGCAGGCTGGGTGACAGGGTCCCAGCTGGCAACAGCTCTCCTGAAGGGTAATTCCACAGCGGTGTTTCCCGAACTCTTGTGCTCATTACCTTTTTGATTTCTGCCCTATCTGCCCATCATGGTATCTACTGTTTTTTTTTTTTTTTTTAACTCTACTCATTGTTTTGTTTGAGTAAGTAGATTTCAAAAGGAAACTTTATATCACTGTCATAAGTGGAAAGCCAGTATCACCTACCATAAATAGATCAAAGTCACTAAAGCACATAATAGGAAAACCAAATAAGGGTATTAAATGCTAGTTGGAAACTTTAGCCTGGGGAAGGTGCTGAATCTGAAGCCTGCTGCTGTCTTTTGGGAAATAATACAGTAGTAATATTGATAAAACAGAAAAGGAGATTAGCAAGTGATCAAGAAATGTTTTGGAGGCATAGTGCCATCAAACTGGGACTTTCTCTTTGATGTAATCAGGACCGGGAGAGAACTGAAAAGGGATTAACCTTCTTTCTATATGATTCAATCTTATTTAATGTAAAACCAAAAGTAAAACTACGCAAGTAGTAGCTGCTGCTTGGCAAGCTGGACTCTCATTGGCCAATCCATCTGTCCATCTGTGGGAAGGAGGCGGGGCCTCCAGCTGGTGCCCAGCTCTCTCTAGTCCACAGAGAGCAGTCAGATGGCCTCAGACCTCTAGAGGCCTGGGTTCAAATCCTGACCTGGCACTTACTGTGAAGCTCTGGGCAAGCTCCTTAAGCTATTTGTGCTCAGGCCTCCTCATCTGTAAGATGGAGCTGGTTACAGCACCTACCTCTCAGGGTGGAGTGGGGGCGATGAAGTCACCTGTGCAAAAGTGCTTAGACTGATGCACAGCACAGAGCAGCTACTACCGTCACCACCTCTGAGCCTCCTGCACTGGGGACAGGAGACTTGCATGGGTCCCAAGGGAGCTGGCTGGAGCCGCCTGTGCTGTGGCGCATAGTCCTCCTCAGGGAGGCCCGAGTCTGCAATGGAGTAACTCTGAGAAGCCTCCCCGGCCAGGACTCCTGGCCCAATGCCCAGGCACTCCCAGGAGTCTCTGTCCCCGCCTCACAGACACTTTCCCAAGGTGCTGGAAGTGCTGCTTCCTCCCATAGAGCCCACTTCCCCTTCCGGGCCTCCTCTGTCCATGTGAATGGCCACTTCCTGCTGGGGCAGGTATCAATAAACACATCTGAGATGCCCTTTGTCCTCACTGGCCGGAGAGCCCCTGAGCAGACTTGCTGGCCTCAGCCCTCTGCCTGCGTCCCGGGGCACTTCCTTTCTTAGAGTGACAGTCTGGTCCCAAGGGTCCCTGCCTCTGTTTCCCCCATGCTGTGCGTCTTGGACAGTGCTGGGGATGGAGCCTGGCAGGAGCTGGAAGCAGGTCCCGTGCCTCCTGGAGTGGCCTGCGAAGCCAGGGGCCAGGCCCTTTTCATCTAGAGCAGCGGTTACAGGGTGATCTTGAGCTGTTTACTGGAAGAGATTGGCTGTTTGGGTGGGGCTCCCAGGCCTGGCTAATCAAGCTGGGGACCCAGCTCCCAAGGCTAGGCGTTGCCTTGGTGACTGGGGCAAAGCTTACACCGGGTCAGAGAACATATACAAGCCTGTCTACTCCCACACACACCCCACTCTCACACACGCACCCCAGGCACGCCCACGGCAGCTCACAGGGGCCTGCTGCATGGAAAGAGGCAGAGGTCGCGAAAACTTACATCCAAAGACGTGAGAGCCCAGTGTGAACTCCTCTCCCCCTGCTGTGGGGGCAGAAATGTCACCAGAGGTAGCGTCTCATCTGTGGCCGAGGCGCCTCAGCTCCAAAGCTGCAGACACAGCTCTAAATTCCAAGCAGTGACCAAACTCTGCCCTCCCCAGTCTCTGGCTCATGTTAGAACCTTGCTAAGTATTTGTGGAATGAAAAAATGATGTGTTCTGTTTGGGTCTGAAGCAGGGGTCAACTCAGAGTCAGTTCCTTCTCTCTAAATAGTTGAGAGATGAGTGTCACTCTGCCCACCATGGGGGGGGCACTTCCTGTTCCAAGGTGTGGATCTCAGCTCAGCCACAGAGTGCTGTGTGGCCTTGAGAAAGTCACTTGACTTCTCTAAATTTGTTTTTTCATCTATAAAGCAGGGATGAAAGCCTGGTGTGGTGGCGCACACCTGTAATCCCAGCACCCAGGAGGCTGAGCCAGGAGGAGTGCTGTGTGTTTGAGGCCAACCTGGGCTACATAGTGAGTTCCAGGCCAGCCTGAACTGCGCAGGGAGACCCTGTCTCAGAAAAAAAAAAAGCCAAAGAAAACCCCAACAAACAAAAATAGGGGTAATAACACCTATATTGTTGGGGAGGGTTAGGAGAATTAAATAAGTAGTCATAAGACAGTCCTTTTCCTGTGCACAGCACTTCAGAGCTGTCAGGGGCCGCAAACCATGAGATCCCTCTCCCTGCTCTGGTACTGGGGATTGAACCCAGGGCCTTCACATTGAGCTACATCTCCAGCCCTTTTTAAATTTTATTTTGAGACAGGGTCTCCCTAATTGGGCTCGAATTTGTGATCATCCTGCCTCAGCCTCCCAGAAGGCTTGGATTACAGGTGTGTGTGCCTCTGTGTGAGGCCCCTGGGGTGTCTCTAAAGTGCAGAAGAGGACAGGGAGGATCAGAGAAAGATGGGACTCGTCCAAGGCCACAGAGCAAGGCTGCAGAGCTAAGTGGGCCCTGGGGCCCAGGGAGCTCAGGGTTCAGACCAGAGTCATAATCTTGAGAACTGGAGTTTCCTGGTTCCTGGCATTTGTCATGTGGGTGCTCTTGTGGCCTTGCCCACTGGAAGGTAGGGGCTGGGCTGGGAGCAAGGTTGGGCCCCAGGAGCAGCCCACTAGCTGAACAGCCATGGGCCGGGTTATCTTCCTGGCCCCTGCGCTCCTGGCCACCCTGGAGCCAGAGTCCTTCCTCCCCACCCACTCTCCCTGGCCTCCAACAATGACCCAGGTGTCCAAAAGGATCTGCTCCTGACAATAAGCAACATCCTCTCGCCAAATAATTATAATTCCAGGCAGGCGATGCTTCCCTGCTAATGTGAGTGGCGCAGGCATGGGCCCGGCTGCCTCCCCCCGCCACCGCACACCTCTCCGCTGTTTTCCCCAAGGACGGGCCACACTGGCCTTGCCACAGCTGGAAACTCAGACACAAGAGTGGAGACTTTTTGGGGCCTCCACCCTCCCCTCCCCAGGAAAAGAACCTGAAGACGCCAGGTCCACTCCTCTCTGGCCCCTCTTGCTGGAGACTGAACCAGTGCCCCTGCCCACCCCCAGATCTGCACCCCAGGGCAGCTTCTCCTTTTCTAAAAGGGGAAGAAGTCCTTCAGGGTGCTGTGGGGTGGTGGGCAGCGTGTGTATGTGTTTGTGTGTGGGGTGTCAGGGATTGAGCAATGCCCCCTTCCTGTTGTCCCCAGATCTTGTTTCTCTGTGTCCCCCTGCGGGTTTTCAAGGAAGGTGCCTCCAGGGCCGAAGGTCCCTTCTTCACTGCTGTGGTGCAGGGCTGGGGTCATGGGCACCAGTGCTTGGGCCCAGAGGGCTGTCAGCCCGGGGCCCTGCCCAGCTCCCGGTCGCCTGGACCCAGCCACCCGCCACCTGCCTCTGCCTCCTTGGTGCCTCTGCTCTCACCAGTTTGGTTCTGTGCTCTACTGCTTATTTTTGTTTTGGTTTTCTAAAACAGCGTCGTACTATGCAGCCCAGGTTGGCCTTAAACTCTCAGTGCTCCTCCTGCCTTAGCCTCTCCAGTGCTGGGATTACAAGCGCACACCACCGTACCTGGCTGTGCTCTGCTTCTTGCTTTTACCTCCACTCCCCTCTGCCTGTCCCCTCCACCCAGCCCTGGCCTGCAGCCCCGGGCCCTGCTGAGCCACCCTCCTGAGAGCCCCTGGTGTGTAGATGCATGGGGCATGCACTGTTGGACCTGTACTTGGCAGAGGGTGCTGGGAGGAGAGGTGCTGGTGGGAGCTCCCAGGTGGGTACCAGGAGATGCACCAGGCTTCCGTGTGTGGGCCATGGTCCTTCCAGGGAGCACAAGAGAGCCCTTTCCCTCTCAGGCCTCACTGCCAGTGCCTGGCACAGCCACGTCCCGGCCCATGACAGGGAGGGAAGTCCAGCTGGCATGGGCAAAGCAGGGCACTGCCAGGTGGTCTGGTGTACCAAGCCTGCTGCGGGATGGGGGTGGGGGCAGCAGGGGACAGCTGATCACCCCGGTTCTGCCAGGCTTCTGTGGGTGGTCACCTCTGTGCTGAGCCTGAGGGTCACATTGGGGACCCTTCAGATGATGGGCTTGGGCCTTGGTTTCCTCATCAGTGAAAGGGGACTGAACAGAGCGCCTTGCTGGCAGGCTCATCAGAAATGCACAAAGCCTTCTGCATTGCACGAAGCACATCATCTTCCGGCAGACCGGACCGGGTCCTGCTTCTCTGCAGGCCCAGTACTTGGGCTCTGAGTTCAGACAAACTGGAGCTTCGGCCAGACCACCTCCCCTTCAGCCTGGGTTGCTGCCTAGAGCGGCACCCAGAAGTTCTGAAATCTGCCCACCTTAGCAATATCTTTCCCAAAACCTGGGGCTCCCAGACACAGCTCCCTCTCCTGTGTGAACAGAGTGAGGAGAGGTGCTGACAGTTTAAAACTCTACTCCTGCAGACACTCTGGGGCCATGGCTTTGCCTCTGCTGATACACTCCAAGGTTAGAAGACAAGCTGCTATCAGTCACTCACACCTTAGTGAGAAAGTTTGAAGCTGGCTTTTCCATTCCATTTTTTCCCCACTCTTAGGAAATGTTTCTTGAATTGCTGAATAATCAGAGATCCCTGTAGTTCCTAGGTGTCAAACACCAACCACTAGCAAGGGACTTTCTGAACATTTCATGTAAACCATTACTAATCTTTACTTCAGTTCTACCAGGTAGATATTTCCATTTCTGGGTTTTGATGAAGATTCTAAAGCCCAGAGTCTAAGTGACTCACAGCTGCTGGACTCCAGAGCAGCCTGGTCCAACTACAGAAGCTGCTCTAGGCGCCCTCCCTCTTGACTGGGCTTTCTGTCCTCCTGGCGGGTCCCAGCCTGCTGCCAAGTGCCCCGGGCTCTGAGGTGGGGCAAGGACATCTGGAGGAGGAGAAGGCATTGTCTAGACTCCTGGGCAGTGATGGAGAACCCTTTAGAGATGAGTGCCCAAAGGGCAACCCCAAACCCACTTATTTATCGCAAAGTGCCAACACTGCAATGAAACCTGAACACCGAGGTTTGAGTTTAGAAAGAATAACTTGTACAGTAACATTTTTTGTTCTAAAAGAAAAAGAACACGTGCAGTGGTTCACCACTGTTGGCTAAGGGTCTCCGTGACGCCCCCAGCTGGGGCAATGGAGAGCACAGAGCCATTTGGCTTCTGTGCATATTGGCAGCCCTCCTTCCCTTTCTGCTATGGCCCGGATGGCATGAAATAAAGACCGAGGGTGCACAGCTGTCCCCGCAGGGTCTGCAGCGGGCATTTGCGTTTACGTCCACAGCCTTCCCTCACTTGGTCCTTACGATGCTGTGGGTAGCACAGGAGAGGAAACTGAGCCTCATGTCACCAGACAGAGGAGCAAGGGCTCCACCCTGGTGTTCTCTTTTCTGAGGCTTCGGGGGCCTCAGCATGGTTGAGTGCTGGAAGAATGGGTAAAGAGGGCCAGGAGGAGCAGTTGTGGTGGTGCACCCCTGTAATGCCAGGACTCCGGAGGCTGAGGCAGGAAGATTGCCATGAGTTTGAAGCTGGGCTACGTAGACCCTCTATCAAAACAAACCAAAATGAATGAAAAAGAGGGCCTGGAGATTGCTTCATTTGCTTATCGAAAACCAGGCAAACAAAACTCTCCAAAAACTAGGACATGGGCTTAGGAAACAGGTGGAGCCCAGGTTCCCAGCCTTGTCCCTTGGGTGCCTTGGGTCCCCGGAAGCCCCAGCTCCCCTGCCACCTTGCCTGGAGACACTCTCCGCTCGCTGAACTCCATCTGTCCATCGAGTCCACAGACCCTTCCTCCTTCCAGCAGTGCCCTGACTGTCCCCAGAAGGCCGCTGCCCTCCTTCTCCAAGTGCTCCGGAGCCTGGCCCTGGGTTGCCTTTGCCCACAGGGTTAAAAATGCAGGCCATCAGCTCCCAGGGCACCGGGCTTTCGCGTGCACATGCTCTGCCGGTGCCCAGGGCCTGCCGCTGGGGAGTGGCCAAGGCCAAGGGTCCTATGTAGCACTGTGAGGGTGGCAGGCAGGTGACAGTCTCTCCTCCTCCAAGCAGGTCTGGTAGCAGCCTTCAAGGTGGCCACGCCATACTCCCGGTATGTGTGTCCCGAGGGGCAGAATGTCACCCTCACCTGCAGGCTCTTGGGCCCCGTGTCCAAAGGGCACGATGTGACTTTCTACAAGACCTGGTACCGCAGCACGCGGAGCGAGATGAAGGAGTGCTCGGAGCGCCGGCCCATCCGCAACCTCACGTTTCACGACCTCCACCTGCACCACGGAAGCCACCAGGCTGCCAACACCAGCCAGGACCTGGCCCACAAACACGGGCTGGAGTCGACCTCCGATCACCACGGCAACTTCTCCATCACCATGCGCAACCTGACCACGTGGGACGGCGGGCTGTACTGCTGCCTTGTGGTAGAGGTGCGGCACCACACCTCGGAGAGCAGGGTCCACGGGGCCATCGAGCTAGAGGTGCAGAGAGGTGAGGCGCCCACGCACCCCCAATGCATGCCATGAATCCAGCTGTGCAAGTGTGCGATGCTGTGCTGGACAGTGTGTGGCCACGCTGTGACACTGCTGCTCCCGCGCATGTGTACGGGAAGGGAGGCCGCCTGTGGGTGTGACTTGCAATTGCTGGTGAGATGGGGGGCGCGTGTGGTCCTGATTGTGACCACGGGACTCGTTCATTGAGGGGTCCACAGGCCTGGGCTGGGCGTGTGACCCCCTTGTGGCGATACTGTGGCCGTGGAGGGTGCAGGCCCGAGGTGGGTGGCTAACTTCCCTCTGGGAATGCGTGTCCTGCTGGGAACATGGGGCTGGCAGGCTGCAGGGGTGTGGGTGCCGTGGGTCCCTGCTTACCCGGGGGTGAGAATGGCCAGGGCGAGAACATGCCACGGTGTGTGTGTACATGCGTGCATGTGTGTGTACGTGTGTGCAGGCTCCTGCTGGCTGGGCAGGCACCAGCATGCATCCTTGTCATGGATGAGGCGCGCTGGTCTGGACAAGCCTCCCTGGCCTCCTGGGCCCGACACCCTGTAACAGCTGTTCTCCTTGCTCCCACAGGCAAAGAGGCACCGTCCAAATGCATTATGTACCCGTTCTCCCCCGAGGACAGTGACAGTAAGGCCCATCCTTTTGTCTCTCTGGGTGCTCTGTCCTCTGTCCTCATCCTCATCCTTGACCCTGACCCCCTGCTGACCTCTGACCTCATCACCCTGCATGCGGGATCCCCCACCACCCCTGCTGCTCCCATCCCTTTGCTTCTTCCTTGGCTGCAGCCCCAGAACCCCACTCGCCTTCCAGTTGCTCCGGACCCCAAAGGGCCACCCCCTCATGCAGCAGGCATGACCAGCCTCACTCTCCAGACGTGGAAACAGCCACAGAGAGGTGGTGTAACTTGCCCCAACCCACAGAGGCCAGGGCACAGCTGGGATCTGGCTTTGGGCCTTTCTGGCGCTGCCCGGCTCCCCTTCTTTCCAGCTCCAGGGGAGAAGGGACATGAACAGGTCAGTGGGTGGTGCCACCCGGTGTTTGCCCAGAGAGGGGCCTCTAAGGAGAAGGGGCTCTAAGGGTCCGAGGTGGGGCGGGCGCTCAGGTCAGGTGAGAATGCCCAGCAGCCTGGGGACAACAGGCCAGGCCAGTTGGATGCCCTGCTCTTGAGTGGAGAGGTCCCGGCTTCCTTGTCTGTTACCAACCTGGTACCCATGAGGCATCTGTGCAGACTAGCCCCTGCTGAGGCCTCTGGGAGGACATCCAGGAGGGCCTGAGGCAGAATGAGGCCAGCCCACCGGCAGCCCTCAGTCAAGCCCTGACTCGAAGGCTGCGGTGACTTTACTCCAACAACCCATTTTTCCAAACCAACAAACAACGGCCGAGAGCAAGCACAGTGTGCACTTCAGCCCGAGCTAGGCCTTCACAGAGCTCAGGGTCACCTTGGCATAAGCCACCGTGCTGTCCTCACTTCCCTCTGCATGGCCACTTCCTTCCCACGCGGCGGCTCATGACTAGCGCACACATGCGTGTCGGACAGGGCAGCTCGCTGGTGGGCACGCATGGCGGTCACTTCCTCACAGCACCTTCGCTCTGAGCAAATGCCCAGTCCCACTTCTTCCTCTGAGATCTCGCAGAGCTGCAAGGCACTTGCAGACTGTCACCTCCACCACAGCCCCGCGTCACAGGCAGGGAGACCCAGGTTCTGGCAGGTGAAGGGATTTGTTCTGGGTCTCTCAGACCCAGAGCCAAGGATGTCAGAGAGCTAGCCTCACAGACTGTGCATGCTGCCCAAGGGCCAGCTGCCTCCCCAGGGTCAGCCCGACTTTGAAAATAAGCCATGTGATTTCAGTCTGGGGAACAGAAACACGAGATGCCAAAGGGGATGCTGCTGGAGAGACCAGGTACAACACAGGACACGGAGAGGCTAGGAAAGAGGCTCAGGGGAGGAGCGCTGGGAAGTCCCGGGCAGTTAGAGCCCATGCAGGAGGCAGGAACCTTGAACTGGACCACCAGGATGCTCAGGGTTTTCACCTGTCAGAGCTGTGAAACCTCCCTCTGCCCGCTCCTTCCAGTGACCTGGCTTCTTAAAGACCAAAGGGACATGCTTGCTTCTGCCACCACAACTGAGGACAAGGGCATGGCTTTGGTGACTTCAGATGTCCTCTTCCAAACTCTTGGCACCGAGGCAGAGTCAGTTCCGGATGAGGAGAAACCTGGCGCACTCTGGGAGGGGGTGGGGCTTTGGGCAGCGCGTTCTCCCGCTGGGTACCATTTCCCCACTGGGCATCAGAGCAGTGGCGCTCCTTTTCTTCTGCCCCGGAGGCAGCAGTGAGTGCTATCCAAGGGGCTGCTGTGTGCCCAGGGCCAGGGAGCTCGGACATAAGAGAGTCGTGACGGTGAGGACCTCCACGAGTGCCTCAGGTCGGTCCAGCTGCAGTGCGTCAGGGTGGGGGCCCAGGGTTGCTGGTGCCACTCACTTATCAAGGAGAGCTAGAAAGTCGATTTTATAGGAACTCTCAATTTTAACATGTTGGCAACTAGTAAAGAAAAGTCTTTGAGGGCCATGGTTGCAACCTGAGTGGGTTGCAGTGAAGAGAGGTGCCAGGAAGTGGTGGGAATAAGACCCTGACGTCGGCCAGGCTGCCAACCCTCTCTGTGCCTTACTGTGCTCATCCTTCAGGGGAACTGGTGATCGCAATAGTGTTGCCTTGTAGGGTGCTTATGAGGCTCACAGGAGGCATCTAGCACATGCGAAATTTGGAGAGCCACCCTGGCCCATGGTAGGTGCCTGTGCATGTGGGCCATTATTGCCTCTTGGTGCACACTTCTGGCCCTGACCCCCGAGTCCGCTCACCCATCCCCTGTGCCAAGGCAGGACGGCAGGTGGATGGTAGCATACAGTGGAAGCGGTCCCATTTCCTAACGATTCTGGAGACATCTGCCCGATGACCCACGTGACCCTAGAGCTGGATGCTGGGGGCTTGTCACTTTGGAAAGATCCCAGCCCCTGCTCGCTCGAAGACCGTGCCCCACAGCAGCCCAGCACCTGATCCGTGAACGATGCTGCCAGCCAGGCAGTTTGTTGAATTTTTCTTCTCTAACCTCAGCCTGAGTCTCTCGAGTGTTCTCTTTGGGACATGGGAGAATAGCTAGGCCAGGCAAAAGTCAAAGCCCATTGGCCTGAGGTAGGGGAAGTAGCAGGGGTGCTGCAAGCCAGGGAAGTCAGTCCCCAGGCAGCTCCTGTTGCTCAGGGTTTTCTACTCTGTTGTCCCTTTCCACTGACCTAGCAGGGAGCTCCTTCCTCTGCACGTACCCACAGGGAAACTGGCAGCGCTAGATAAAGCCCAGTTGAGCCTGGCCTGGATGGCGATCAAGCAGGCTCCCTCTCTCTAGGAGGTGCCCTGGCTATGCCTGGGGAGAGCTGTGGCCAGGCTGGGCTCTGCAGAGATGCCTACAGCCTCAGATGACGGCTGAACCCACAGACCAGTCCCCAAAGCCCTGTCCCTTGCCGCAGTCTCAACTCTCAGCCATCGTTATAAGGAAAACCCAGGCTCTCAGAGCAAAACTCAGTCTTGATCTCCGGGAGGGGCTGCCAGCAAGAGGAGGGGAGCACTCCTGGGGACATGAGTCAGGCAGGAAGATCTGGCCAAGCCTCACAGGCAGGCAGAATCAGTGAGCACCTGGAGAACTGCACCGAATATTGCATAGTAAGTCGGAAGAGGCCTGCCATGACAACCAGAGAAAAGCACTCTGCAGCCAGCTCCTCAGATATTGCCCCCAGTGAGGTCTTTGATGAGGTTTAGCAGCACCGAAGCAGTACCTAGTTATAGCATGTTTTTACTTTCAGTATTCTACATTCAAATGCAGCCTTGGTAAGACCTGCAGGGAACCTGCTTTAATGTGGAGTGGAGCTCGCTTTGTAATTAGCCTAGCAACTGTTCCTGTTCGGATGGAGACTTCTGAAGTGCTTGAAAACTGTTTGTGCTCTTCTGCCATGTGAACAAACCCCCTGCGAGTTGTTTACACCACCGTGTTGCTTTGCCATACGATGAGATAAAAATGGCCTTTATTCCCAAATAAAGTGCAGAAGCCACATTTAGACCATGGCCCATCCTATCCCCAAAGCTCTCTGGGGTGAAGATGACAATGGTGATGAGGTATCCCAGCAGTCTTTTGGCCCAGGAAAAGGCTCAAATTGGGAAGGAAATGTGTCTACGCTGGTTGTGGTTATAAGGGCTCTTCTGTTCCCAGCTAAACTCCTAGAGTCAGCAGATGGACTGAAATAAATCAAACCCCCATGTTGCTGGGACCGAGAAGTGGTACAACCTTTTCTGAGGGCAATTTAGCAACAGCCTAAAAGAAAACCCACACGTACTCTGGCCCAGCACTTCGAGTGCTGGGGACTGACGCCCAGAAGCATCTGCCTGAGTGGGCAGCAATGCGATGTAAGGAGCGTATTGCTCCCTCACGTTATGTGGGGGAAGGAAACAAGCAACGAGGTGCTGCCTGGTGGGGACGTTTCGCCCAGTTGGGCTGAGCTGTGTGTGGTAAAGCCCTGAGCAGGGTGAGGTGGCTCTGTGCCCACACACAGGGATGTCCACGCTGGACCCATCCAGTGGGAACTGCAGTTACCAGATGGTCCATATCTGCCAGAAACACAGGGAGATCATGGGTCTGGATGGACACATGAGGGGCTACGGAAATCTATGATCCCTTGAGTGGGTTGAGGGGAGGCTAAGGAGGAGACTTTTGAATTTTTTTTTAACTTGTCTTTTGGTTTCTGTAATTTAAAATTTAAAAATGTCACCAGGGCTGGTAGTGCCTGATGTAATCTCGGCACTTGGCAGGCTGGGGCAAGAGGATTGCTGTGAGTTCAAGGCCTGCCTGGGTGACATTGTGAGTTCAAGGCCAGCCTGAGCAATCATAGTGACCTCAAGGCCAGTCTGAACTACATAGTGAGATTCTACCTGAAAACAACAACAAAAATTAAAAGTGTCAGACAAAGATGAACATTTCTGTAGTTTGTTGTTCCAAGTATGTTTCCTCCGTGCCTAATATGGTTTCCAGGGGCCTACAGCTAGAGTCCCTCCAGGGGGTGGCTGGGGCTGTTTATTTTGTATTGAGGTAAGATGTATGACTGTACAACGTAAGTGTCCCTGACCCATCTTCGAGGGTACCATTTAGTGGCATGCAGCTGAATCACACTCAGTGCTGTACAGCCATCGCCGCTGTCTATTTCTAAGACATTTTCATCCTTTGACCTTGAGCTCTGTGGCCTAGGGCCTGTGAAGGGCCTGCTTCCTTTCTCAGGGACAACCCGTAGCCCTGGGTTGTCCAGCTGTCACTTGGGTGTGGGGTGAGAAGTCTGCGCTCTCCTCCCTGTGGCTGCCGCATGTCTAAGTCTGGCTTCTCTGTGCTCTGGGGCCCCTGGGTGAATGTGGGTCCTCTGCCATCTAGCCTCCCCTCTCTGGGCCTCAGTTTCCCCCCGCAGGAGGAGCAGAGGGAATGGGGCCTCACCTTGGCTATCTCTCTGCTCCTACAGACATCACAGCTGCGGCCCTGGCCACGAGTGCCTGCATTGTAGGAATCCTCTGCCTGCCCCTCATCCTGCTCCTGGTCTACAAGCAGAGGCAAGCAGCCTCGCACCGCCGTGAGTACCTGTGTGCTGGGTGTGTGGGTTTGTATGCATGTGACATATCCAGCCTAGCTCCTGGTCAGCAAAGGCACCCAGCAGACACTGCGTCTCTGCTCCTTGCTGCATTCCCAGCAAGGAGTGAAAAGAAGGGACCAGGCTTGAGTGCCTGGCAGCTACTGTGGCTCCCAGGCAGTGTTGGATTGGTGTTCCATCAATAAAGAAAACACCTGTTGAATGAATGAATAATCACACACTGTAATAGGAACACCTCATACCAGTTTATAAACACGCTGCCCCTCAGACAAAGATCCTTTGGGTACCTACTTTCATGTGTGGGTGGGTTTGTTTGTAATTGGTAGCAAGTCCTATGACAAAAACGTAAGTTTTGACCAGGTGTAGTCGCTCATGTTTGAAATGCCAGCACTTGGGAGGCTGAAGCAGGAGGATAGGTATGCGTTTGAGGCTAGCCTAGGCTACACAGTGAGTTCAGGGCCAGCTTGAACTGCATAATGAGATGCTCAGTGGTCACCAGGCCCTAGCAGATGGGGCTGCTCTGCCAGGCTCTATGCCAAGCCGGGCACACGCATTTGCTCACTTAAAACACAGAACAGCCCCCAGAACTTGGTTCCACTCTTTTCCCCTTTTACAGATGATTAAACTGAGGCTAGAGACATTTTATAACTTGCCTAAGAAACCATTCAGCAAATAAGCGGTGAAGCCAGGCTTCAAGATCCTGGCCACAAACACCTTTCACACCCTCCTTCTGGGTGACAGCACCTCTTTCGATCCTCTGACCCTGCCTGGGAGCCCGAGTCTGCCAAGGGTAGGTGGGTAGGAGCCTGGGACCCTGGGGGCCCCTTCCCTGCCTCTGGCCCTTGCCTGGCTGTGGAGGCACTGAGGGAGGACTGCTGTCACCCGGCCATCCCTGATCTCCTTGGCCTCTATCTACTCCACACCCTTCCCGAGGCCCAGCCTAGAGCCCCACAGTGGGTCCCTCGAGGTTTTCAGCCACCTGCCTCTTGCTCTCAGAGCTGCCCTATTCCTATCACAAACCTCACGGCCCACCCACAGGAGTCCTGAAGCTGGTGGGGCGGCAGGTAATGGGGTGAGAGCAGAAGAGGAAGCCAGGAGCTGCTGCTCTCCTGAGGCCGGCAGGGCACAAGGAGGGAGCCCCGCAGCTCCCAGAGTCAGAGGCGCTTTCTGTGCCCTTCACTCCAGACCACAACGCTGCCTCGTCATGTGGCCAGAACAGGGAACAGGACTGGAGAACAAATACGTCCTGGGTGGAGGACGCCGTGTGTGTGTGTGTGTGTGTGTGTGTGTGTGTGTGTGTGTGTGTGTGTGTGTGTGTGTGTCTGTGTGTGTGTCTGTGTGTGTCTGTGTATGTGTGTGTGTCTCCCCTGTGCTTTTTCCTGGCAGCCTCCCCTCCGACAGTGGCTCCCGTTGGGCAGGGGGAGGGGTATAGGAAGGACAGTCACAACACTAGAAGGTGTCCCGCAGACATGGGGGCGGGATGGTTCTACTCCTCGCACTGTGACACCTTCAGGCCAAGTGCTGGCCCCTGGGGCTCCTGGGAGGGTCCCAATCTCCAAGACACAGGAGAACTGGACTGAGAGGGGGTGTGTGAGTGCAGTGGTTAATTAGGGGTGTGCTGTGCTCCATGTTCCATGTGCCCCTGGAGCTCTAAGTGACACTGTTTTGGAGCCACTGGCCACGTCTCTAGCCCTCGCCTCCTCACTGTGTGCAGTAACAGAGCAGGAACAATTATTTATCTTGTCATAAAAATGCTTTTGGGATCAGTCCCCTTTCTCCCTCCAACAGAAAATTTTAAAAGGATGAAAGATTGTCGTCTGATCTCAGACTTAGGAACAGAGACATGAAATGTGAAACACACCATTTGCAAAATGGAGGTTGGGGGAGCCTGGGACCGTCTCCCCCCATGCACGTTCTAAAGAAGCAGCTGCCCTGGGGGTGCAGGAATAGAAAGGGCCCTGAGTCCCGGGGTGCAGGCAGAGGCTACCAGAGTGGGTGGCAGGTCGGGGATGTGCCAGGTGTGCTCTGGCGGGAAGGTGCTGGGATCCTGGCCTAGAGGAGATGCTCAGGAATGAGCCACACTCGGGGCAAAAGGAAAAAACGGGGCTGGGGGCACAGAGGGGGACAGTTTCCTGGGCCTGGACTCCTCTCCAACTTTAGATTGTGACTCAGTTTCTGCAGCTGTAAATTAGGACCCACATCCTCACCCCAGACGTGGTGGAGAGGACGAGATGAACATACACACGTTGCACACACGCATGAAGCCTGACACGGAGCAGCCCCTGTGAACGGGAGTCACAGTTCTACAGATTTCAGGAACTCGGTGTCACTTCTCTGAGTTCAAGTTCGTTCTTCAGCAGCGCCCCTCCCCCACCCCATTTCCCCATCTGCCCCCAGCAGCAGAGCTCCTTTAAGTGAGTAGGGTCTGCGGGAGGAAGACGAGGCATTGCAAGGAAAGGGAAGCTGGGGGCCCCTACATCTGGCTGGTGGCCAGTTTGGGGGGTGGGGAACCCCTAGAGTCAGCCAAGGCCGCCCCACCGTGAATGAAGAGTAGAGAGTGGGACAGTTAGGAAGTGACAGATGCTTGGTCCCCTAAGCCTCCCCGAGACATGTCACCTCTATTAGGTAGCCTGGAGGACAGGGCAGAGAGGACCTCCTGACTAGGAAATGACCTTGAAGACCCCACCCTTAAGTCATGGCTGAAGTCCAGAACCAGGCAAGTGTCCAAACAGGAAACCACAGCTTGCAAACTCAGGAGCCAGGCTTCTGGTTGACCTTAAATCCTGAGGGTCTGTGTCATTGAGCCATGGGGGAAAGTGTGGGGCGCCTTGGGCTTCCTGGTGGCAAACGCTGCGTGCACTTGGAGAAGAGAGGCTGAGTTTCACTCATCCACAAATCTGCCCCCCGCCGCCCACCGGCAGTGGAGTCCCTGGCAGGGCAGGGGCTGTTAGACGGGTTCCCCGAGAGGGGCCTCTGTCAGCGGGGCGGGGGTGCTGTCAAGGGAAGCCTTCCTTCCTCTGACCAGGTTCTGTCTGTCCCTAGGTGCACAGGAGCTGGTGCGGATGGACAGGTAAGGCCCGCAGAGACACACTCACCAAGGCCAACAGGCCAGAAGAGATACTTCTGTGCAGCAGGGCCTCTGCTCAGCCACCTAGCACCTGCCCCTGGGTGACAACAGGCACTGAGCTGCTCAAAGGGGCAGCAAGCCCATCCCAGCCTGAGAGGTGGCTCCTCCCCTGCAGGATCCCCAGGCTGGAGGGCACCAGCGAGGGTGGCGGGTCGGGCACAGGGAAGGTAGGGGAGTGTGGGTCCTGTACCCTGGGCTGGCGACTGGCTGCATCCTGGCCCAGAGGACGAGCACAGGAATGAGCCACACTCAGAACCTCAGCCACTGTCCCAAGGGGCTGAGCGCCCCTCCGCATGTTTGAAAGGACAATTTCCAAGACACAGTCAAAGGAAGTCTGGTCTGTGATCCTGCCAGAATCTCAGAGTTGAGGGGACCTTCACAGGTTGTCCCCTTCTCAACTGGGAAGAGAAGAGAACCCGTCCACTCAGTTCAGAGAGCGCTAGGGACACTCAGCTCCAAAGCCATTCACCATGGCCCTGAACACCTGAGGCTGGTGTTTGGGGTGTGCCTCTGGCCATGCAGTGATGGTCAGACCAAGGGAAGAATGGTGGCCAGTCTGGTGGCTGCCCAGGTGCCCTGAGCTCAGAAAGGGGCAGAGCACAGCCCATGCCTTTGCCTGCAGCCTGGGGTGAGGGGACGGGAGGGGGAAAGGGGCGGCAGGAGGAGCAGAAGCTGCATGCCATCCCGGCAGCGCAGGTGACCTTCGTTCTGCTTCTCTAGTGCCATTACCCAGGGAATTGAAAACCCCGGCTTTGAGGTCTCTCCGCCTCCCCAGGGGATGCCTGAGGCCAAGGCCAGGCCCCCTCTGACCTACATGGCCCAGCGACAGCCGTCTGAGTCTGGGCGGCACCTGTTGTCTGAGCCCAACACGCCTCTGTCTCCTCCGGGTCCTGGGGACATCTTCTTTCCATCCCTGGGTGAGTACTTCTGTGACCTTGACCCTCAAGGGCATGACTCCAAGCCCCGAAGTCTTAAGGTGTCCCTCCTTGGGAAGTCCTCACAGCCTCGTGGTGCAGGGTTGGGGTGAGTGGGCAGAGAACCCCCTGTTCACCCTGCATCTCCTTTCTTTTGCAGAGCCAGTCCCAGACTCCCCACATTCTGATGTCATCTAAGCCAGCTAGGGACAGTGGGCAATGCTGGCTGGATTTGGGCAGGTGCATTGGAGCCAGGGCCGGCCCTGTGACTGGCTCCCTTCACCCTGGCCTTGGCTTGGCCTCCATCCTCCTGCTTTGAGCCCAGACTCTGCTTTAGCCCCACTGCCTGGACCTTCTACCTTCTGGATGCTATGCAGGGGAGAGGAGAAGATGCTGGATTGCTCAGCCATGCCCCAAGGATGCGAGGGTGCTGGGTTCCCTGAGGCCTGAACTTTACCACCTACAGATGCCAAACGACCTTCATCCTAAGAAGTCCCCAGATTTCCAGCTCTTTGTCAGCCTCTTTCCCTGAGAAAGGAGTCTTGGGTCTTGGCAGCACAGACAGGACAAGGTAGGCACTGGGCAGGTCCTTCCAGTGCCACCCTCCTAAGCACGAGACAGGGGAGCAGAGGAGGAGAGATTCCTGCCCCCTGGGATTGGCCTGGCTGCCCTGTCCCCTGCTCCACGGCTGCTTCTCTGTTGGCCTCACTCTCTGTACCCATGGGGGCTCTGGAGCTGGGCCTGCCAGTCCCCAGCCACTGGGGCTCCTGGAGCTGCCTCCCTCTGGCAGTGTCTGAGGATCTGTCAACAGGTTATACATCTAGGGCTCCCACTGCCTGCATTCTGGTCCCCAGAGCTCAGTGACCAGAGGCTCTGAAGCAGGAAGTACATAGTGGGCACAGTGGCCACTGTGAGCCAACTGGCATCTTGGGCAATTTGAGGCCAGGCCAGAGGTTGTGCCACCCATGGCAGATGGTCCAGAGGGAGGTGGGCGGGGCCTGCTGGGGAAGTGAGAGCAGAGTCCCGCCCTCCACATCCCCTGCTCCAGGGCTCAGCATGGGCACCAGTAAGGGTGACTGCATAATGTCTCGTGCGCGAGTACTAAAGGGGGTGCTATTAAAAACTGTATGGGCAACAGATGCAAGCTGGCACATGCATTGGAAGCACCAGATCTATGTGGCTCTGGTTCTGATGTGCAGAGCGCTGGGGACTCCTCCACTCCCAGCCTTTGGGCTTCTGTTCAGCTCTCACCTCGAGTTGGGGGTGGGACCAGGACAGAGAAGTGCTTCTCTCTGCTCAGCCCCTGGACTCTCCTACTGGAGTCTCCCATGGCAGGGTGTGACCTGGGTTTGTTTTTGTATCTCATAAAGGAGCCCTCTGTGGAAATGCCATTGAAGGGTTTAAAGCATGGGACAGACCTGGGGTAGAGGGTGGGGAGGCTGGGCACTTCCCCTCCAGCCCCCAAACCCTGGGCACCGTGGAGAGCATCGTGCCGGTGTGGGCATTCAGGGCCCCGCAGCCTCTGCTGACTCTGCAGAGACTGAAAACCAGGACTGCAGGCAAGGACTCAGGGCCAGCATGCAGGTGGAGAAGGCTGCTAAGCCTAGGGCTGGGGCGGGGGCTGGGGAGGGGGAGCAGCTGGGGCTGCAGTCCCCAGCCATGCCCCCAGATCAGGCCCACTGGCATAGGTCATGGAGTGGGGCGCATCTGCCGTGCCTGGAGCCGGGGCTGGGGTCCGTGAGCAGAGAGTGAGCACAGACCTCACGGCAGGAGGGACACCAAGTGCTGGCTCCTGCTTTGTGCCCAGAGTCCCTTCTTATATTCCACCTGCTGCTATTACGCAGTACCCCAGAGAGAGCCAGCCGTTCTCCCAGCTTGTGGGGGCCCCTGGGCAGGAGTGGGGAGGTAACGTGTATTTTTTGGCAGGACTGTGCTACCCTAGGGTCCAGGGACAAGCCACAGACCACTTTGGTCCCCCAGCTCAGGAGGCGTGTGGCCTACCCTCTGGGCAGGCTGGCATGGGCAGGTTGTCTCAGGTGCAGAGACAAGTTTCTATGAATTTTGCTGCCAGACCCTGGGCCTGGCTGCTGTCGTGTGCAGAAGGGAGGTGGCCCCTGGCGGAACAGCCACCACACTTCCTGCCCTGCTTCCTCCTGCACTCTTCTGCTCTGACCCTTGCAAGTGAATGTATCTTGGGCTTCGTGGTTTCCTGTTTTCGGCGAAATTTACTGAGCTCCAGGCTCCATCTTCATCCATGACCAGGGCCCTGCCTGCTGCCACCCCACGGACACCGTCCTTGCTGCAGCTGGGAATAGGCAGGGTACTAGAACAGCTCTCCATGTCACCAGGATAGCAGGGCCTCTGAGAGGCCATCCTTGGTGGCTGTGGGCTGGAGGACATGGGACTGAGTCAGGGGCATGAACTTGCAGCTTCCAAGGCGGGACAGGCAGCCCAGGGCTGGGAGGAAGTTTGCTGTTTAACAGGGAGGCTCCCAGGGTACTGGCTTCCTGCCACTCTCAGTAGGCCCGGGGGGTGGGGCTGGGGGACATCTATGCCATTAGGAACTTACTCATTGTTACGAGAACAGTCAGGAACTGTGGCTGTCTTACCCAGCTCAGGATATTCACATCCAGTTAAGGTGTCCTCGGGAGAAGCGGAGGGGCAGGGGCTGGAGGCTACCTTGGGAGAGGTTTGCTGGCCCAGGGGGTGCTGCTTAACACAACCTAGGGCCCCTGGTAGCTGCTGCTGGTCAGGGTGCCCCTGTCCAATGGTGATGGGCCCTACCATGGGTGTGCAAAACCCCTGGGACCTGCATCTCAGAAGACCAACCCTGGGGCTGCCCTCACTGCTGCCTGTCCAGAGGTAACCCCCCGCCCCCCAGCAGTTCAGGGCCTGGGGCAGAAGGCTGCTGCCTGGTCTTCCTCAGGGGGTGCTCCTGCGGGGCTATCACTGCCCCTAGTCTGGGCACCGGAGCCCTGCCTGCTGCAGGAGGGCTTTCCGGGTGTCAGCTGGAGCCCTCTCAAGCTGACCTGGCCGTGCCTGGGACTGGGCTAAGAATTGCTCAAGGAACCACAATAGATAAAAGAGGAACCGGCTTGTCTGCCAGGACACTGGGTGCAAAACTCTCTTGATAAAAGTCTCAGCCCAGCAAGCAGCTGTCTGAGCTCACAGAGAGGACGGGCTGTCTGGACCACCCCTGCTTTGCCTGGTCACTTCTCTCCCCACCAACCCCTCACAAATGCTGCATCTGAGTTCTGGGAGGATGGGGCCTTTGGACTTGATTGCAGAGCTGATAACTGATCCATAGCCACTGGGTGTTGGGCTGAACCAGGATGTCAGGGCTCTGTTCCCGGACCACTCATATCAGTCAGGGCTGCTTCTGACTATCTTGGGTTTCTCACTTCCTCTGGGCCTGGCAGGATCTTCTCTATGGCAATGATGCCCAAAGCTTGCATAGGCCAGGGGACAGATGCTTCATTTTGTTTCTCAGTTCTGGTTTACAGGTATGACCTCCTGAAATATATGTTCAGAGGAATTCTGATGTATTAATATGGCTTAGTGAGAAAGTGCTGGGATCAGCTAGCAATGCCTGCCTTGGGTGTAGGAAAGGAAGTGGCAGTATGTGTGCCACATCTTGGGTATGGCTTCCAAAACTCTCACCTGTGTTACCTCTTGGATTCCCCTTGCCCTCAGTCCTGGGAGGCTTCATTTTCCCCATTTAATGCATTGGGAAACTAAGGTTCTGAAAGACCTATGTTTTGTCAAAACAAGTGAATGGCAGGGTTAATGCTTGGGTCTCCTGCTTCCCAGGCCTGTGCTCCTTCCCTTCACTGAATAGCATTATAAGTCGGGGCCTGGCAAGGCCTTCACCTTGAAGCACACACCAGAGCCCTGAGAGATGAATCTGTGCCCCTAAGTCCATGGTTCCACCTCCCTCCACACTAAAATGCTATTTGTGCCCTGCCTGACCTGAGCTTTCTCATACACGCGTCTCCTTCTGCATCAGCCCCCTGGTGGGAGGCCAGGAAGCCATGAGACTCCTGGTTGGCATGGTGCCCGTGCACCCTGCTTGCCTGCATCAGGAGATGGGGAAGGGAGAATCCCTCGGGGACCACTGAGCTCCAGGGACTCATGGAGAAACTCTGAATGTGCATTGTCCTGCAGCTGCAGGATGTCCTGCTGGAAGCAGGGTGCGGGCAGGGCTCCGGGTTGCCCATGCTGGGCGGGAAGGCCCCCAGGCAGGGAAAGGGCCAGGCAGGGGTTCCTGAGCGTAAGCCAGGGAAAACAGAAGCAGGAAGGAGCAGGCTGAACAACACAAGAACGATCGGCACTAAGACAGGTGCTGAGCTGCTCAGGGCCATGTATCCAGTTCACAGACTATCACGAGACCACCGCTGGGGCCTCGTGTAGCAGCAGTGAGTAGTGGGAGCTTCTCTTTTCCTCTGTGTGGACAGGTGACCTCTGTAGGTCCCCACAAGCCTGAGAAGCCAGTGTTTGTTATCTGGGACTGCATTTCTTATTGGCTTCAATTTGCGCGGCAGGGAGCCTGTGTCGGGCTCTCCTTCCCTTCCCAGCCCCTGCTGAGATGCAGAAGGCTGGGGTCCAGCTCTGGCCTCCCTGCTGCCTCTGTGTCCTTCCTCTCTGGGCCAGCGCTTCCTCCCGCAGGGGCCTCCATAGCCACTGAGACCTCTCTCCCCGAGTCTGGGCATCCTGCCTTGGCCTGGAGCTCGCTAAAGGGCAGGAGCAGTGCAGTGACTTCCCCTGGCCAGTGGCATTGTTCATCACTGTGAGGCAGGCCTGGGGCTGGCCCGGATGCCTCTTGTGCCCAGCTGTTCTGGGCTGGGGTGACACAGGGTGGAGACAGCCTGGGCGAGTGGCAGGAACGTCCGGCTCTCAGGAAAGTAGGGGGAGGAGCCAGGGAGAAAAACAGGGTGGGAGAGGACTCAGTTACAGGATTTTTCTGGGCTTTGGGGAAGCTTTTGGCTGCAGAATCTCAGGCTTCCTCCTGTAAGATAAGGGTGTAAATGACAGCCCTCTAGCAAACCTCCCTGATGGCTGGCTGTAAGCTCCCAGCACTCTTATCACATTAGAGAGTCAACTCTGCCTCCCACACCAGCCCTGCAGGCTCAGGGAGGCAGCCCTGGGGCCAACTCATCCCTGCCTATAGCTCAGGCCTCCTCAGTGTTCTGTTGAATGAATGAATGGGTGAATGATTCCTGCATGCCCCTGTCCCCTGGGAGGGCTGCTCCTATGGTCCCGCTTGGAACCAGGAAGGTCACAGCAGATGGCAATGAGGGGACAGGTGCAGGGACAGGCCTGTGGGATTTCTCTAGACAGATCTGTGCGGGCAGCATGGCCCTCCTACACCACTAGACCATATGACCTTCCCTGGAGTCTCAGCGCAGCTGGCCTGGTAGCTCTGGCTGCTTCAGGAAGGGTTGGGATCCTCCTTCCTCAAACATTCATCGAGAGAAATCTTCCCAGTGGCAGAGAAGTCCCTTGCTCTGGCTGCCTCCTGCTCCCTGAGGACACACACAGCCCTGAGGGGTTCACTGCCTAGAGGTGAGGGTTGGGCCAGGGGAAGCAAATCTTTAAGGGTCCAGTGTTCCTTGGAGACAGATGCCAATCATGGCTGGGCCTCTGTCTGTCAGCTTCGGCCCCACCCAAGTCTGACAAGCATTAGCCAGGAGCCACCTCCTCCGGAAAGCCTTCCCAGCCCTTCTCAGTACCCTGTCTGCTGCCGGAGGCCCCTGCATGAGCATTCTCATGGCCTCTGTCCTCCTCAGCTGCTCTCCTTCAGGCCAGGACCATGATGTCTTCACCTCTCCAGTATCTCTGGTGCCCAGCAAATGGGCATCCGGGGAGCACTGGCTGAATGAATGGATGAGCAAATGAATGATCAAAGGCAGCTTAGTGCTGTTTTCTCAAACTACATTCTGTGATCGCAGCAATTTTTCACTCAAGTATCTCCTGCAAAATTCAAATAATGGAGATTATTTCCCCTGCAAACTGATAAAGCCGGGACAAAGCAAGGAGGGGACATATTCTTTGTGAATTAATGTTTTCCTCCTAGGACTCTCTTTCACGTTGGCCCCTGGTGCTGTTTGCTTGTGTTATAGTCCAGAAAGCCCAGGCCTGAGGCAGCCCAGGAGGCCACATACGTGCTGCCCAGGCACTGGCTCGGGAGCTCCGTCCCACATCCTGCCCACACAAAGGTGTTTGGGCCTTGGAGCAGCCCTGGAGATAACCGAGGTAAGGCAGGCAGATGCTGCCCACCTCTCCCTCTGCCAGGGAGCAGCACCCTGGGCCCTGCCTGAGGCAGGCCTGGAACAGCAGGCACTGGAGGGCTCAGCAGAGGGTTTGGCCAGCAGCTTGGAGCTCTGGCTATGGGACCAACCCCACATTTTCCAGGGCCTGCTTAGCCCATGGCCATCCTGTGGATGGCCAGGGTGGGCTCATCTGTCTCTAATTCCCATTATTCTGGGGTAAAAGGAAGCCTGATCTGGTCTCCACATCTTAGGGTCTTAGAAACTACGTGCGTTCTGATGTCTGCTTCCCCGGGGAGCCTAGGGCTGTGGGGGTGGGGGTGGGGCTGGGGGTGTGGCAGTGCTATCAGTGCCTTCCAATCTTTTCTCTGCCTCTTCCTTGCCAACAGAGTCCTGCTCTTGTTTGGGGCCGTAATACATCTGGCCCTGAGTAATGAGCCACTTGTGACAATGCTGTCCCCCATTTTTTCCAACCCCCCATGTAGGCAGCATGCCCGTGTGGCCCACGACTCGCCAGTAAGACACCCAAGAACTCTGGGGGCTGGGTCAGGGAAATCTTTCACTTTCCTGATAAAGGGGCAGCAGTAACTGGCATACCTCTTTATCTTTTTTTCATCTGTCTGCCTTGAGTGAATCCTGACCTGAGGGCTGGTGCTACAGCAGCTGTTGTACAACCATAAGATGTGAACTCTGACATGACTCAGCCTGAAATCAGTGTTTGTAACTCACTCCAGAGGTCGATGTGAGAAAATGCATTCTGATTTATGATGCTATAGTGAGGTGTCTGTTACTTATAGCCAGACACATCTCTAAGTGCTGCTGGAGGAATGACCCAGATGATTCACCTTCCCCTGCAGCTGGGTGCAGCTGCACAAGGTTTATGTCAACACTGCGTCCCTCCATGTCACCACCATAAACGATACCTTTCCTGCCTCACCCCTGCCCCCAGGGAGTTACATGTGTCCTATCAGTGAGCGCCTGCCTAGCCCACTGGATATGGAGGGCTAAATTAATCAGCTCTGACCTCAGGGCAAGGCTCTGGGTTGCTCATGCTGGGTGAGGGCCCGGTCCAGGGGTGCCTGAGCCAGTCCTGTTTCCTTGACTCTCAGAATGGGCTGGGAGGTTTCCTGAGATCATTGGCCCAATTCCTAGCCCTCCCCAGAGATGCCCTAGTCAAACAGCCCAGCCTGAGCTACTCCAACTCCTTCTCCTACCTGGAGGAACCCCAAGGTCACCTGTTGGGATAGAAAGAGGCAAAGCTGAGGCCTCGCTTAGAATCGAGGTCCCCAGGGTCCCCAGGCTGCAATGCTGTGTCTCACCTTTACCTCCTTCCCTCCCACACTCTGCAGTTCTGTATCACTTAGTCCTGCAAACCTTAGTTTAACTCCCTGTGTCCTGAATCTATGCTACCTTGTGACTTGCCTCGGCCAAGAGAAGCTGCAGAAGGGACCCTGTGCCAGCTGCAGGCCTGGCATTCTCGAGGGCTTGTGTACCCTGCTCTCTCTCCTCCTAGTGCTGTGAGAACAGGTGTGGGCTCCCCTTCTAGACAGAGTTGTCCCTGTCTCCCCACCCCCATGGCCAACCCTTCTCTGGAAGCACATCACCAGTTGGCACACAGCACCCATTCTGCCACAAGGAAGGAGTCCAGCTGAGACCAGAAGAACCACCCGGCTGAGCCTGGTCTGCACAACCAAATGCAGAATTCTAGAGAAATCAATGGTCATTGTTTCACACCCCTGGGCAGCATGTGGTTTGTAGCGAAGCATGACTGTGATAACAGGCAGTTGATACATCCTCCTCCTCCTCATGGTTTACCGAGTGCATTCACAGACAAGCTAACGGGGTCCACGAGACAACTTTGCGGTAGATACTATCTGCCTTATGCAGATGACAAAACTGAAATTCTGAGAGGTTCTGACTTGCTCATTAACACGCAGCCAGCTCATGGCGCTCCAACTCAAAACTCAAACTCCGCACTAGTCCCTACTTCACTGTCACTGTCACTCGGCTTCTACACAGCCACGACCCAGGCCCTGTAGAGCTGCCACCTGGCCCTCAGGCCTGCCCCTCTCTTTAGCTGGGCAAGCCTTGGATCTGGCCAAGGGCAGAAGTCCCATTCATTCAGGCATTGACTGAAACACAGACCTCAGTCCCTTCCAACCCTGACGTGTTGCAACAGTGTCACACCAACATGTGGGGACAGGGCTGGGGACGACTTTCCCTGAGGAACCATCCCTTGGGTTGGCCCTTTGTCAGGCTCAGCCTTCACCCCACAGAGCTGCTCAGAGAGAGGCAAGGGGACTTGGAGCAGCCAAGGACGCAGGTGACCCGTCCCCCATACGCCAGCCTCCGCACGGGCTCCGATCTGGCAGATTGAAGGCGCAGGGAGGAAGTCGTCAGCTTCACCTCCTCGGTCCCCTCACACAGACGGCAGAGCACCCTGGCCACGCCCACACCCTGTGCCACCATCACTCACCGACAGTGTGGGTGTACCCTCGTCCTCCACGGTGACCACCAGGTGGTAGAAGCCCTGGCGCTCGCGGTCAGGCGGGGCAGGCCGGGTGGCAATCTCGCCACTGATGCGGTCCATGCGGAAGGTCATGTCCTCGTTGCCCTCGGTGATGTAGTAGGACAGGATGCTGTTGATCCCGATGTCACGGTCGGTGGCTCTCACCTGGACCACCGCGGTGCCCCCGCCCACATTCTGGGAGGGAAGCAGGAGAGAGGTCATTCTGGATTCCAGGCCTCTGGGGCACGGTCTAGCACCTGCTCCTGTCTGACAAGGGGGTGGGGGGGTGGGGGGCTGATGAGGATGCCGGGGGTGGGTACTCTGTGGGCACCGACTAACTCACTGAAGCTGTGTGTTGGGTTCTTCTGTTGCCCCATTTACAGATGAGAAAACTGAGGTAGAGGGAAGGAACATGTGCATATCCATGTGCAAATCAGGGCCGAATCTCGGGCACCTGGCTCAAGGTGCCCTACGCCCCTACGCCCCTGCTTTCCTGAACACTGCATTTGGCATGATAACCAGCAGGGCCAGGCAGAGATACCAGCCCTGGTGGCTCAAACTTAGGACCAACTGATACATATACTGATTTAAAAAGTGGCTCTCCAGGCTGAACCTTGGCTCCCTGTCCTATGAAACAACACTCTTGTTTTCCTTTCCTTTCTTCCGCCTCACCTCAAAAAATTCTGAATTCCAGCACCCAGGCTAAGTGTTTGGGGCATGATCATGAATGAGTTGAGGTCTGAGAGACCAGCAGGCCAGGCAGACATTGAAACAGGTGCCCTGTGGTCAGCGCATGGCTGCCGTCCATGCCGGATGTCCAGCTGGAGGCCCCGGCTACCCTCACCTCGTTCACGCTGACATTGTATCCAAAGGGGCTCTCGATCACCGGAGGGTTGTCATTGACATCCAGGATGGTCACCTGCAGGATGTGGTCCTTCTTCCGAGGAGGGGTGCCACGGTCGGAAGCCACAACCTGCACAGGGGAGCAGGAGCTGGTTCCTTGCAGGGAGGACCGGGGAGGGCAGAGATGCAATGCCCGTCCCTCCCCTGGGCGGTCTGGCTAGCGCTGGCCTCTGCCCACACCTCCTCCTCCTACCCCACGTTGCAAACAACCCTCGCCCAGTCTTGCCAGGCGTGGGAGCCTCTTTTGGAACCACTGTTGTGCACTCAAGTTGTTACTGCCCGGCCTTGTCCCTCCCTGTACCCTGCAGTGCGGCAGCGCCTGCCCATGACCTTGGCCTGGAATCTGACTCTGCTACCTGCCTTCAGCTTTCAAGGCCTCTGGGCCCTGCACTCAGATCTGTTCTCTGGCACACAGGGCAAAAACTGGAATAATCTTTTCTTTCCCCTTGGTTTTTTGTATCCATCCACCCATCCCTCCTTCCCTCCTTCCCTCCCTCCCTCCCTCTATCCGTCCATTCATCCATCCATCCAAGACAGGGTCTTGCTATATAGTCTAGGCCAGGCTTGAACCTGATACCGAGCCCAGGTTGGCTTTGAACTTGTGGAAATCCTCTTGTATCATTCTCCCAAGGGCTGGGATCACAGGCACGCACCACCATAGGATAATCTGTTTAGCAGACCGTGGAGCCTAACCACGGGCAGAGCCTGCCTCTGCAAACCTCAGTGCTGCCCACATAGATGGCCGTGCGTCTGCGCAGAGGGCAGCCCCAAGGGCCCTGAGACCCCACAGCCAACCACCTGGCCAGAGCAACTGAGCACTAATGGTGCCCTTCGTGGCTTCTCACACTTGCAACTCTTTCCCACTTCAGCAGAGGCCACGTGGGGTTCTTCTGCCCATGCTAGTGATGGAGAAACTGAGGCCGGGGCAGAGGAAATAACTTGCCCAAGGTCACACTGCCTTTATGGGGCAGCCAGGGCACTACCAGGTCCCCCAGCCAGGCTCTCTCTGGCTCTCAGAGTTGGGCACAGACACTGTCGCTCTTCGGCCCCATGTCCTCTCTCCTGGTCAGTCTCGCTCGTGCACCCAGCCCTGACAGCTGCAGTCCACCCTGTGTCACCTTGAGGATATAGTGGTCCAGCTCTTCTCTGTCCAGGGGCCTGGCCACAAACACTTCACCAATGGAGTTGTTGGTGGTGATGATCGCAAAGGCCCCAGCGATGTTGCCAGAGGCCAGGGAGAAGACCACCTGTCAGAGGAGAGGGTGAGGGAAGGGAAGGCAGGGAGGGTTGGGGACAGGTTAGGCCAACGTGCTGTCTGGTCTTCCCAAGCCCACCCTCTCGGGGGCCCTCTGTTCAGCGAGGCTGCTTGAGAAGAGAATTTGCTGCCAAGGTACTTCAGGCCCTCAGGAAGGGGTAATAGGGCCACCAAGGCAGTACCACACCTATGGCAGGTTCTTGAGCCTGGGGATATCAGCGTGGGGGGACCTCCTACTACAACCTTGTTTGAGCTTGCCACTCTTCCTCAGACCACAGGGCCTTTGCACATTCCCTCTTCCTGAGTCACTTTTCCTTCTTGGCAGTGTTAACTTCTATGCATTCTCCTGATCTCAGCCTTAGTCCCTTCCTTAGGGAAGTCTTCCTTGGTTTCCCTGATATCTTCTGGAGGCCAAGAGAATGAGTTGGGGGTCCCATGCTTCATGCTTGGTCATAGGAATGGCTTAGGTGGCCGCTGAGGAGCCTCTACTGACAGGGTAGCTCCCCCCTATCTCATTTGGAGCCCACCTGCCCATTGCTGCCTGCGTCAGGGTCCCGGGCCTTGACAGTGGCCACTCGCTGGCCCACGGGGCAGTCCTCAGGCACGCTGACCACCGAGTCGGAGGTGAAGTCAAAGCGGGGGCTGTTGTCATTCTCGTCCAGCACGGTGATGTAGACCTGGGGGGCGAACGTGCTCAGGGACCTACCGCCGCTTTCCTCCGCTGGCCGCAGGCGCCGCAGTCCTTCCGCGGTCCTCGGTCAGGTCTGGGCAGGCCGCCTGTAGGGCCCGGAGCCTTTGCTCCTCCTTGCAGCGGGGGCGGGGGCACACCGCCTCGGCGCTGGGCTGGGAGGGCAGGGAGGTGGCCCGTGGGACCTTCGGAGGTGGTGGAGATGAGAAAATGCAGGCCCTGGCCAAGGGGAGAGGAGCTGGGAATGCCGGCTTGGTATGGGTCCAGCTTCCTTTTTTTTTTTTTTTTTTTCCAGAGAAACAAGAAATCCAGATTTTCTAGTGAAATTAGCTGATGAGTCATAA